GTCTCCAAGCAGGGCGCACTATTTTCCAAGCAGGTGCTCTCCCGTTTTCCAAGCAGATTGGCCTGATTTCCAAGCAAAGCCCCCAATCTACTTGAAAATTACCACTTTTGCTTGGAGCGCGGAATCTTTGCTTGAAAACCAAGCACCCACTTTTAGCGTAGAGGGGGACTTGAGGCCTACGCGGGGTGGGATGGGGCTGGGGGTAGCAAGCCCCTCAAAAACGCATACATGAGGTAAAAGTCGACGGCGAACAAGTGGCGGAAAAATCGAGTTAAATAGGCCTACTAATAATGGGTGCGCCATCTTCCGGCTCATATGAAAGTTCCCGCGTATTCGACAGTACCCTCCCCGTCAGTGTGTCTACTGCTGCAGTACAGTTAGAAGTGTTTAACAGTTGGTTTATTAGAGTAGAGAAGAGTTTCCGTTTGGTCCGCTCTGAGGGAATTCTTAATGAATTCAGATCATCACTGTGGGTTGTCGTTCGCCTCCCCCACCTCTCCATTCCCCGCTCTTCTGCTCTCTCCCTCTTTCTATGAATAGCCCGTCATCGGGACAGTATAGTGCGCTCGCCCAAACTTACGATATCTTGCCGGCTTTTGTGTCGCTGGCCAAGTGCGTAGGCTAGGAAATTACCATGACTCCCTTTGCTAATAATTTTTGGAAGGCGCGGCAGAACAGTATTGTACGATAGAAGTGTGGTCTCTTTGGAGAGAGAGAGAGAGAGAGAGAGAGAGAGAGAACGAGAGAACGAGAGAACGAGAACGACACGGAAACACAGAGAGCGGAATTTGTGCCTTTCGACACATACTGGGCAGTTTCTTTATTGCTTTCTGGCCTCGCAGAATGTTTTCTTTTTCCTTTGGACCTCCTTTTACAATTCACTGGGCCGTGAAAAATGCTGCTGAAGTATTAAAAACATTAGAAATAAACTATGAATAATAAGTTTGGAAATGAAAAAGCCAAATAACGACGTTAGACTGAATGTGTCGTCGACTCTTTCGGTTCGGTCTGCACAGGTGGTCCGCTCCTCACCGCCTTCCCAGAAGCGGTGTCGTGGCGATTCCCACACCGTGCGTGAGTGAGCTTTTGGCTCATCGGAGAGCTGTGGGCAGGGGCCGGCGTCGAGTGCTTGGCAAAGGCTCGCAGTCAGCGAGCAGCACTACTCCAGGCACTCTGGAAATTTTACTATGAAAGAGAACGAGAGAGAAGAGAATTTTGCCATAGGTGCTTCCTATTACGTCAAGACGATATTTTGAGATTCCGATATTCTATGGTTTCAACCTGTTTTTGCTGCTTTCGGATCGATCACCGATCGCGTGCTCGTGTCTTATTTTTGTGTGTGTATGCAAAAGAGCCTTTTTATCCTTTTCTCTCTTCCCCTCTGTCCCTCACTTCTCAATTTCTCGTGCCCCGCGTGATCCGTCACCGACACCGGGGTCCCAGCCCGTGCCGTGGGGATGACCTTGCCGATTTGAACAGTCGCCGCGGGTATATGGCATGGCGGACTCGACTGGACTCCGGGGCAGAGAGGAGACGCCTTACGCAACTCGAACGTTTTTCGAGTAAACAGAGCTGTATAATCATCGGTTTGAGTGAGACTCTGGGCGTCACGAAGGTGCCGCGGGCCGCGGAGCCGCTGTGCTGTCTGTGCCGGAGGGAGCAGGTCAAGTCCAAGCCGGTCTTCACCAAACTACTTTTTTTCGTCGATAGTTAACTAGAAATCGCCCTAAAGGAGCGAATAACTGACGATTACACAAATTGCTTCTTGTATTCCGTGTCTCCTTTTCTTTTCTTGTTTTCTCCGCGTTTTATTTTAGCAAAAATGTAAGGTCAGTAGCTCGTGGTTTATGAGTTAGTAACTTGGAGAAAATATTCGGACAGTGTATCTGT